TCTGAAATGGGATAATGACACTTTTCTCACAAGCTCATTAAAGCAATTCACATGAGCATGGTTCTTTAGTACTTACAGAATCCTTTTATGTATATTGTATATTGATATGTATATTACATATTAATATGTGTATTGTATATTAATACAATATATATAAAAGGATTCTGTAAGTACTAAAGAACCATGCTCATGTGAATTGCTGCTGCCATTTAGTGCTGCCACTCCTATTTCAGCCCCTCTCCTCTTTCTCCTTGCCTTCATCCTCATGATCCTCAGCAGTCTTTCTTGAGTGTTTTATATGAGACTTGGTTTTTTAGGGGATGAAGATTTTACCAAAGAGATAACAGAGCTGTTTTCCCAGCTGCACGTCTCCTCCAAACCAGAGAAACTTGCCAAGGTAAGTTATTATTTCTGGTGATTTTTATTATTTTACTTCTAAGAATTTAGTGGTAAAGAGCATAAGATTGTAAATTCCTGGCAGTGATGTCACCTAAAAATCAAAGATATATTCTTGATATACCCAGAAGGGGTTCTATACTTTCTGCTTGCCTCCTGTTCCTCAGCTTAGTGCACTGAACCCACATCTGCTCTCCCACACTTGTCTTATCCTCACCTTTTTCATCTGGAATGCTTTATCTAAAAACTAATTTAGGCCACAGTATTGGTAAAGTTGGCAGTGCTGACCAGCCTTATACCAATGGGCAAGCCTCTATGGCGGTCTCAGCTGTTCTCAGGGGTCTGAATGGTTCAGAGATGATGAGATGTACCTCTTGCCCATAGGGACTGGAGATTGTCATTTCCTATAGCCCAGTGACTCAGATAATGACCATGTAGCATATGGAAGTGAGGAAGTACCATGGCCAAGCCTTCATCTTTGGTGGTAACTTTTGAATTATCTTCACACTTCTGGAACATGGAGGGACTTTAGCTTAGAGTGGGTTGGGAGGTCCTGTTCCAGAGTAGTACCCACATAGCACATATGTCAGTACCTGCATATGGGACAATATTCACTGGGTTGTGGGCTGCTTTTTGCCTCTTGACCAGCCTTTCCCAATCTTGAGAAACATATTAGGACCAGTTAACAGCAGATGCACATTGCTTCTTGGCCAGGGAGAGCTGATAGCTATTGTATAGTCAGCCTTGTCCCTATACTCCGGAATAAGGACTATGCTGCTTGGTGTGTTATCCCACTCTTCCATGCCCAGCAAACATGCTGCATTCTCTAAGAAAGCTTTCAGATCACCCGAGGCAGCTTATCTCTCTCATCTCAACTGTAGCACTTTACTACAGCACTTTCCATCTTGTATCAGTTTTTTTAATTTTGGAAATGATATCAAATTTAGAGAAAAGTTGCTAGAATAGTGTAAATAACCTTCATACACCTCTTATACGTACTATTGTTAACATTTAACTCATTTACTTAATTATTTGTGCTTGCTTATGTGTTTTCTCTCTCTCTCTCTCTCTATATATATATATACACATACACATATGTGCACATACATCTTATTATTTTTGTAGCCATTTGAGAGTAAGTAGAAAACATAGTTCTTTACTCCTAAATATTTCAATATGTATCTCCTAAGGATAGGGATATTCCCTTCCATAATCACAATATAGTTTTCAACTTTAGTAAATTTAACACTGATACCATTATTTTTATTTAATCTATTGTCTATATTCTAGTTTTGTCAATTGAGCCAATAATATCCTTCATATCCTTTTTTTCCTTTGATACTGGAGCCAGCATGTGACCATGAATTATATTGTACTTTTAGTCTCCTTTAATGTGGAATGGTTCCTCAGCCATTCTTTGGTTTTTATTACACTGACATTTTTGGAAAAATATAAGTTCCCCCTGCCCCTTTATAAAAATAGAGCATTCTTTGTTTGGGGTTTGTATGATGCTTTCTGACAATGAAGGTCAGGCTATGCATTCCTGGCCAAATACTCTGTAAGTGATGGAGTGTCCTGCCCCCAAGGTATCACATCTAAAGGCACATGATATCCATCTCCCCCTTATCAGTAATGTGTTGTCTGATTTCTCATTGTAGAGTTATGATTTATTTTCCTATGCTACTAATAAGCTTTCAATATATATTATAAAAGCATACTACAAAAACAATTTATGATTTTATTTGCTGCCCCTCTATGTTAATTTAATTTAATTTTTGAACATGTAGAATATTAACATGCTTCTAAAAGTCAAAACTCTACAAACAATATTCTCAGAGAAGTGTCACTCCTTCCCAATGTCCTTCTATTCCATTTTCCTCTCCCTTTAGGTATTCAACTTTGTTTTCTGGCTTATCCTATCTGTCTTTCCTTTTGCAAAGATAAGCGGTTATATTTCCTTATCTCCTTCTTACACAGAAGTTAACATACTATATTTGTTATTTAGAACTGTGCTTTTTTCACTTAACCTTATGCATATGTGTTTTCATAAATTATCATAATTTTTAAAAAGGTTGTATCTTACCTCCTATCCAAAATCTTAAATTTCTTTAAGGCATAATCTGTGCATAATTGGTCCTTAAAAACCCAACTCTATTACCTTTTACTTTCTTTGTGGCCTTGAGCAAATTGCTTAACCTTTCTCTGCTTCAGTTTCTCTGTGAGGTGGGAATAATGTAGCGTTCCTGTAAGGATTAAATGTGTTCATATACACAAAGCTCTCACAAAGTGCCTGGTTCATAGTAAATAAATGTTCTCTGTTGATGTCTTCACAGAAGCTAGCCTCATGTCCTATACAATTAATTAATTAATTTTATTTTAATTAGTTAATTAATTTGACAGAGTCTCTGTTGTCTGGGGTAGAGTTCTGTGGTGTCAGCCTAGCTCACAGCAACCTCAAACTCCTGGGGTCAAGTGATCCTTTTGCCTCAGTCTCCCAAGTAGCTGGGACTACAGGTGTGCACCATTGTGCCTAGCCAATTTTTTTCTATTTTTAATTGCCTGGCTAATTTTTTCTATTTTTAGTAGAGCCAGGGTCTCACTCTTGATCAGGCTGGTCTTGAACTCCTAACTTTAAGTGATTCTCCTGCCTTGGCCTCCCAGAGTGCTAGAATTACAGGTGTGAGCCACCACACCTGGCCCTAACATTCCAGTGTTCAGCAAAAATACACATGTTCACTAAACCTTTATTCTAGGTAATTTTTTAGGTGCTAGGGAAATAATAATGAAGAAGATGTAGTTTACATGCTAAAGGATATCATATTAATAAATAAATATTTTTAAAAGACCAGTAATTCCTTATCTGTCTGATAGTTCTAGCCATTCTCTTCAGATTATTTAATCTGAAAGCAATCTTCAGATTATTTAAATTTTAGGCATTTAGACTTATGATGAGGAATGGTTAAAGGTCAAAGCATTAACCATTGATCCCCAAGGATTTATATGGGAGGCTGTGATGTAGGGGAAAGAACACTGAAGTGGGAGTCTGGAAATATGATTCTTATTCTGACACTCACATGTGATATGATCTTGGGCAGATCCCATTCCTTCTCCAGCCCTCATTATTTTTCAGATGGAAAAAAATAAGTAGTTGGAGAAGCTAAGCCTTCTTCAAGGTGTCTTTTAATACCTAAGTCTCCAGATCTAACCAATGGGCAGTTTCATACTGAATGAATCATGGGGGCAGGAGATTAGAAAATGATAATAAATTACGTTGAGTTGGCACTGTAGTTCATGATGACTTCACTTAATATATTTATTACAAGAGAGGTCACTTTGGGTAGGCAATATGCCTACTAAAATATCTCCTTCAAGTATATAAAAATTATGATATCAGCTTTTTCTTTTATGTGTCCTTATCACTCTCCATTTTTTCCCTTTTTAATCTCAGATAAATCAATCCCTGGTTTTTCTCTCATTTTCTCTCTTCAAAGAAATTGCAAAGAATTTAACATATTGTTTGGATTATTAGTCTCCTGTTAGGATTCTTTTCAACTTCAACTCTCATGGTTGTCTCCTATAAATCTCATTATTCCAACCTCATCTGCTTTCATGCTCCCTCATCATCTATATTGTTCCATACTGGCCTTTGTTCTGTTCCTCAAATACACCAAACTGATTTCCTGTGCTTGTAACTCTCTTTGCCTAAATATTTTTATGGCCAACTCCTTGTTATCCTTCAGATTTCAGCTCAAGTGTCACTCTTCAGAGATCATCCCTGACCACCCAAACTCAAGCTACCCTCTAGCCACCCAGTCTGTACTCTCTATTACCCCATTTTATTTTCTTCATGCATGTATTTGTTTGTTTATTACTTCTCTTTCCTCACTAGAATAGGGAACAGCAGACCCCTTGTTTGTATTATTTACCACTGAATTTCCATCACCTAGCACAGTGTACAATACAGTACATATTTCCAATACATGAATGAAATTTTTTTATTTCTTGAGTTGAGGTCTTGCTCTGTTACCCAGGCTGGAGTGCAGTGGCATTATCATAGCTCCCTGTAGCCTTGAACTCCTGAGCTTCAGGTGATCCTTCTGCGTTAGCCTCTCGAGTAGCTATGACAACAGGCATGTGCCACCATGCCTGGCTAGTTTTTAAAATTTTTTTTGTAAAGATGAGGTCTTGTTATGTTGCACAGACTGGTCTTGAACTCCTAGACTCAAGCAATCCTCTTCCCTCAGCCTTCCAAAGTGCTGGGATTACAGGAGTGAGCCATCACATCTGGCCAGTGAATGGCTTAATAAATGCCTATACCCTGTACTCTGGTCTTACTAGGTGTCTTAATAGGTTGCTCAACACACTTTGTATTTTTCTGCTTCCTATCTTATATAGTTCATTACGTTGGGTTTTTGAATTTGAAAGGTAATGCTTAAATAATGGGAAGGTATAGATCAGAGCCAGATTGTTCCTGAAATTTTTGTGGAGGAGGATATAGGGGAAAGAACCCTGAAATGAATGTCTGGGAACACAGGTTCTGCTTTAGCTCATTGTATGTAGCCTTAGGTTACATGAAGAACATGATTCTAGTTGATGAGGAGCCATTGAAGGAGAGAGGACAGTCAGCTCTGGCTTAGAGAGAGAGAACACTGGCAGCATTATGGAAGATGTATTTAAGATGAACCAGATCAGAAACGGAGACTATCATTTAGTGAGTCTAAACAAAGTGGTTGGTAATAGTGAGGAAACAGGAGGAAGGAAGAGGAAGAAGGGGTTGTTAGATGGAGAAATATTCGTGGCTAAAATCACACTATTTTTGTGATGGAGGGAAAAAATCTAAGATGGGTCTTATATTTGCTAGGTGACTGGTATATGGTAGCACTTCTAAACCTTAGGGAAATAAAAGAGGGTGAAAAATTTGTGAGTGGGAAAAAGACCTCTACAGGGAGAACTATGAAACACCGAGGAAGGAAATAGTAGAGGATGTAAACAGATGGAATCCAATGGATGGCGAACTCAACATCATCAAAATGTCTATACTACCCAAACTGATCTACAGATTCAATGCATACTATAAATCCCATCAGCATTCTTTACACATATAGAAAAATTAATTCACGCTTCGTATGGAACCAAAGATGACCCCAAATATCAAAAGCAATTCTTAGGCAACTAAAACAAAATGGGAGGCATTAATAGCCAGATATCAAAATATACTACAAGGTGTAGTAATTAAATCAATATGGTATTGCACAAAATAGGAATATTGACCAGTGGAACCAGTTGTGAGAATCCTGATATAAAACCATCCTCATATAGCCATGCCATTCTTTGACAAAGCAGCAAAAATATGCTGGGAAAAGAATCCCTTTTCAATAAATGGTGCTGGAAAACTGATAGCCACCTGTGGAAGGCTAAAACAGGACCCACACCTTTCACCTCTCACAAAATCAACTCACGGCTGGATAACAGACTGTAAACCTAAGGTATGAAACTATAGAATTCTAAGGAAAATGTTGGAAACACTCTCTTAGACATCGGCCTACGGCAAAGAGTTTATGAGAAGTCCCAAAGGTAATCACAGCGCAACAAAAGTAAATAAATGGACATGATTAAACTACAAAGCTTCTACACAGCCAAAGAAATAGATGAAAGTAAACAGACAACCTACAGAATGGGAGAAAATTTTTGCATCCTATGCATCTGATAAGGGCTGATAACTAGAATATACTTAGAACTCACGAAAATCAGCAAGAAAAAATCAACCTATTAAAAGTGGGCAAAGGACTTGAACAGAACTTTTCTAAAGAAGACAGAGAATGGCCAACAAACATATAAAAAAATGCTTAACATCTCTAATCATCAGGAGAATGCAAATCAAAACCACAATGAGATATCACTTAACTCCAGTGGAGAATGGCCTTTATCAAAAGTCTCCAAACAATAAATGCTGGCGTGGATGCGGAGAGAGAGGAACACTCCTACACTGCTGGTGGACTGCAAACTAGTTCAACCTCTGTGGAAAGCAATATGGAGATACCTTAAAGCAATACAAGTGAATCTACCATTTGATCCAGCAATCTCATTGCTGGGCATCTACCCAAAAGATCCAATGACACTCTACAAAAAAGACACCTGCACTCGAATGTTTATAGCAGCACAATTCATAGTTGCAAGCTGTGGAAACAGTCCAAGTGCCCATCCATCCAAGAATGGATTAATAAAATGTGGTATATGTATACCATGGAGTACTATTCAGCTCTGAGAAACAACGGTGATATAGCACATCTTATATTTTCCTGTTAGAGCTGGAACCCATATCTACTAAGAAGTATCCCAAGAATGGAAACAAGCACCACATATACTCACCAGCAAATTGGTATTAACTGAGCAGCACCTAAGTGGACACATAGGTACTACAGTAATAGGGTATTGGGCAGGTGGGGGGGGGTGGGTATATACATATATAATGAGTGAGATGTGCACCGTCCAGGGGATGGTCATGCTGGAGCCTCAGACTTGTGGAGGGATGGGCATTTATTGAAACCTTAAAATTTGTACCCCCATAATATGCCGAAATAAAAAAAGGAAAAAGAAAAAATGATCATGAGTTCAGATTTTTTACATGTATGTGTGGAATATTCTGGCACATATGTCCAGTAGGCATTTGGAATAAATTGTTTTCAGCAGAGGTCAGGGCTAGAAATAAGGATCTAGGAGTCAGCAGCAGGTGGGGTATAGTTAAAAATCACTGGAATAGGATGGATAGAGGTGTTCAAGAAGAGAGGGAATTGGGTGAGACAAGTCAAGAGTCAAGACTAGAAATTCAGATAATACTGGTGTCAAAGGTACTGGCCAAGTGGGATCAATATATACAAGAGATTGAGGAAGAATGATCATAAAGGTAGGGGGAGAACCAGAAGATGGTGGCATTACAGAAGCCAAAGAAAACTAGAAACAACCTGAAGATTCGTTGTCAGGAGAATGGATCAATTCTGGTATATATAGTCATGCACTACTTAATGATAGGGATATATTCTTGGATTAGGTGATTTTGTCATTATTCAAACATCATAGAGTGTACTTACGCAAACCTAGATGCTATAGCCTCCTACACACCTAGGCTATATGATAGAACCTATTGCTCTTAGGCTACAAACCTCACAAACCTGAACATAATGTTATTGTACTGAATACTGTAGGCAAATGTAACACAATGGTAAGTATTTGTGTATCTAAACATATCTACACGTAGAAAAGGTATAGTAAAAATACACTATTATCTTAGGTGACCACTGTTGTATATGTGGTCCTTTGTTGACTGAGATGTCATTGTAGGGTGCATGACTGTATATAAAATGAAATACTACACAGCAATTAGTAAGAATGAACTACTAATACATCCAACAACATAAATTTAACAGGAGTTACATTGTGCATAAAAAACCAGACACAAATTAGAGTGAACTTATTGTTCTATTTGTATGCATTTTAAGAACAGGTAAAATTTATTTATAGTGAACATTAGAGTGTTGACTTTGGGCAGGAGAAAGGGGACATGGTTTGAGCAGTATTGACGAGGAAGAGGCATGAAGGGACCTTCTCTGGGTGATGGGAACGTTCTGTATTTGATCTGGATTGTAAGTTCAAAGATATATATATGTAAACATTTCTTGAGCTGTACTTTAAAGATTTGTGCACTGAAAGTTACACCTCAGTTTTTTAAAAAGCCAAAGGATTAGAAGATTTCAAAAAGGAATGAGTGGACAGCAGTGTTAAGTGTTGTCAAGAGGTCTAGTAGGGTAAAGGACTGAAAAGCTATATGGTTTGTTCAGGCGAGAACAGGAGCACTGACTTCCAGGATGCTAATGTGTTTCTGCATAATAATCTTGGTGAGCTAAGTAGAATTGTTGATGGACAATAATCTTTTTCTTATTTAGGCAAGAAATACTGCCCACGAATGGATTAGGACATCTCTGACCAAGCCATTCACAGAGCAAGAAGAAGGAGAAAAACTGTTGGAAGCAGAAAATAATGAGCAAGTCAATAAAAATTCAATAGAGGTAGCCAAAGCAATGAAGGCTTTTTAAAAAAAATTTCAGAATATTAAGGGGGCACAAATATTTTTGGTTACATGGGTCAATTCAGTAATGCTTGAGTCACAGGACATTTTTTTTTTTTAAATAGATTTGAGATGTGGCTATCACAATCAGGGTCTCAGGGGCTTTCTATTTTGTTGTGCTGCTGCTCATAATTTTAACCTTGTGATCCGTGATTGGAGCATCTTAAAACCAGACTGTAAGATGAAAGAAGTGAAGAAAAAAAGAGAAAGGATGCATGCATATTGTGTCATGAGGAAGGTTCCCAGAAGCTGTCACTGGGCACTCTGTCTAAACCCTTTGGCCAAAACTTAGTCAATTGGTCATACCTGACTTCAGAGGAGCCTTTATTTTTGTAGCTGTGAGTTCAGCTATAAAATTATATCACTACTGTGGAAGAAGAAGAGAATGCTTATTGAAGGGCAGCTATCTGTCTCTACTGCTTTCAAAATGTTGAATCCTTTAATGTGAGAGAAGCAAGGTGCTGTCATTTCCTCTCAAATAAAACAACAACAACAATGTTATGCTTTGTTTTGTTTTTCCATCCAGGATATCCATGCATTTGCAATCCGGAGCCTAGCAGAACTGACTGCCTGCTCAATTGAATTGTTCCACAAAACAGCGGCATTGGTTCTCCATGGCAGGAAGCAGGAAGTGACGGCCATAGAAAGGAGCCGAACTCTTTCCCAGTAAGTGTATGAGTAGCACTCTACATAATGCAACTTACTGAAAAGAGTTTTCTTGGCTTATTTCCAAGGTTTTAGAAACTGTCTTCTCAACAAGATACCATTCACATTGTACCCATTCACGTATTAGAGGTTCATTTTTTTTTCTTGAGCCATGATAAATCTATATCATTAATCTGCCCTTTCGATTAACCAGCTCGTGCTCTGAAAACTATTTTTCATAGATTGTTAGTCTTAATAGGAATGGTATTTGGTATAAGTAAATACAGAAAATAGTTATAAGAAGCTCAATTCTTAATAATAGTTATTAGTTATTGAGTGCTAATTATATGCCAGGTACCATGCTAAGGGATTTACATGTATCATTTCTAATTTTTATAACAACATTAAGGTAAGTGATTAGTCCAGTGTTAATAATGAAGAAATGTAGACAAGAGAAGTTTAAGTAATCTGCTCAGATTATGTGGCAAGGGATTTAGACCTAGATCTGATTAAGTCTCATGCCCACTCTTTTTTCTTACGATATTGCTGATTTTGAACAAAAATATTGAAAATATGAATGGTAGAATGTAAGTAATGTCAGGAAGAAAAAAAAGCCCAGTAGTTTCTAAATAAATCTCCTGATTGAAATAATGAGAATTTTTATTGGAAAAAAATGTATATGAGCATGTCTAGTGTGTTAGGATTGGGAGGGGCTGTCGATGTTCTTGAGACCTCCTCTTCACTTGTGACATTACTGCCCCTCTACAGCATCCCAAAAGCGGGGCCTAGTTTTGTTTTCTTGAATACACTTAAGGATGATATACTCACAACCCCAAAGCAGTCTATTCTGTGGAAAAGTGGCTATTCCTGCTGCTAGGAATGCTTTTCAAGTTGTGGCTCACTCCCTCATTGAATTTAGGTCTCTACTCAAATGCCACTTTCTCAGAGAGGCCTTTCTTCACTACACAATCTAAAATGACATTTCTTCTCATTCTCTAATTTGTTATTCTGCTTTGTTTTCTTAGCTCATACCACCACCTACTGCTTATATATGTATTATAATAAGTGTTTATGTGTATATATGTGTATGTATATATGTGTTAATATTTATAGTCTTCCCTTAATTTAGCATGTAAGTTAGAATTCATGAAAACTTAGACTTTGCTCTAAATACAGGTGAAGCTTTGCTCACTCGTCTGCTCCTCACCTCCTGCTGTGCAGCCTGGTTCCTAAAAGGCTGAGGACCGGTACTGGGAGTTGGGGACCACAGTTCTAGAGGATTTTATAGAAAAATATTTTTCTAAGGACTGCACTTTTTTTTTTTTTTCTGTAGCATGAATGCCTGCTCAAATGGGTTCCTGGATTAGGTAGCTCATTTAGGCAACAGTAGACCCCCTTATTTATCCACACAGGATTCATCCCAGGCTTTCAGTGGATGCCTACAACTGTGTATGGTGCTGAACCTGATTGCCATCAGTCAGAACACATTTCTTTTCATATCTTTCACCCACACATTTAATGCCTTTTCCATCTTAACAAGCACTTATTAGGCACTCTGGCTGTGGCTTTTGTAGTTTAAAGTACAATAGAAAAACTAGCATGAATTTCTTTTTCCTTCACAATTTTGTGGTTAGAAGATTCATTCTTACTGTAGATCTTAGCAATCTCAGCATATTATTTTTTTTCTTATTAAGTTGAGAACTTTCATCTTTTCACTTAAGAAAGCACTTTCTGGCTTCTCTTTGGCATATCCAAATTGCCAGCGTCACTACTCTTGTGTTTTGGGGCTGTCTTAGTCTGTTTGGTATTGCTATAACAGAACATGAAAGTCTAAGAGCATGGCATCAGAATCTGCTTGGCTTCTGGTGAGAGCCATGTGCTGCTTCACAGTATGGCAGGAGTAGACAGGTGATAGGGTATGTGCAAAGAGACATGCACTAGAGGCTGGCCTTGCTTTATAACAACCAACTCTGGGAATTAATGCAGTCCCCTGAGAGCAAGAACTTACTCTCTCTAGAGACATCATTACTCTATGAAGGTGGTGCTCCCATGATCCAAATGTGTCCCACTAGGCCCCAGCCCCCAACAATGTCATATTGGGAATCAAATTTCAACATGAGTTTTGGAGGGTATATACTCAAATCATACCTAGGTCCATTATTAAGTAAAATAAGGATTATTTGAATACAAGCACTATTAACACCATGACAGTGAGTCTGATAATCATGATGGCTACTAAGCCACCAGTGGGTGGGTAGTGTATACAGTATGGATATGCTCAAAAAAGGGATGATTCATGTCCTGGGTAGGAAAGTGTGAAGTTTCATCATACTACTCAAAATGATGTACAATTTAAAACTTATGAATTATTTCTTAAATTTTCTATTTAGTATTTTTAGACTGCAGCTGACCACAGGTGACTGAAACTGCAGGAAGAGCGACTGCAGATAAGTAGGGACTATTGTATTACTTCCTTTAAAAGCTTTCTTCTTTTGCATTTAGTAACAGGAGTGGTTTGTTTTCTTCTGACAGTTGTTAAATATAGCTTTGAAAAAAAAAGAGAACTTTCTTGACTTCTTTTTTCTTTCCTAGGATGACAGTTGTGTTGTGTAAAGAGTTGTCCTCTCTGTCTAAAGAGTTCACCACCTGCCTAACAACTGCTGGGGTAAGAATTCATGCCTCTTAATGGACTAATGTCTGTTATGGTGTTTTTTTAGCAGCTTAATTTTTTGTTTGTTTTTTAGCAATTTATATACCATAACATTTACCTGTTTCAAGTGTACAATTCCTTAATGGCTAAAGAATGTTGAGCATATTTTCATGTGTTTTTTGGACATTCATGTAGCTTGTTTGGAGAAATGTCATTCAAGTACTTTGCCTGTTTTTTGCATTGGGTTGTTTTTTATTATTGACTTGTAGGACTTCTTTATGTTTTCTAGATACAAATCCTTATCAGCTTAAGGTGTGCACCTGTTTCTTCTCAGATCATGGGTTGTCATCTCACTTTCATGATAGTACATAATTTTTAAAATATCGACAAAGCTCATCTTGTCAGTGTTCAATCACTGTGCTTTTGATGTTATATCTAAGAAATCATTGCCTAACCCAATATTGTGATTTACTGTTGTGTTTTCTTCTTAAGAGTTTTGTTTTAGCTATTACATTTATGTTGTTAATCCATTTTGAGTTAATTTTGGGGGCATGGTGTGAGATAGGGGTCCAACTTCATTCTTTTGCATGTGTATATCCAGTTGTCCCAGAACCATTTGTTGAAAAGACTGTTCTTTCCCCATTGAATTGTTTTGGCCCCTTTGTAAAAAATCAGTTGAGCATCTATATAGATTGATTTCTGGACACTCATTTCTATTCCATTGATCTGTATGTTTGTCCTTATGCCAGTACCTTATCATCTTGATTACAGTAGCTTTGTAAGTGGTTTGGAATCAAGAAGTGTGAGTACTCCAACTTTGTTCTTATTTTGAGGATTTTTTGAATTTTGGGGGGGCCCTGTACATTTCCATATGAATTTTAGGGTCAGCTTGTCTATGTCTAACAGATTTTTATAGCTCATCTAATTTTTATTCTCTTTTTATGAAGTATTCAGTAGTCTTTAGGCTGTCCTCTGAGACCTATAATGGAAATGTAGACCCTCATAAAATAAAAATTCCAAATTTTGACTTTGGTTTAAAGAGCAGCTTCTAACTGAGACTATTAGACTACGGAAATACTAATATTATGTAGTTGCCAACCAGTGGGAGAGCTGTAGTGAAAACTAACTTTTTAAAAAATTAGTATTGTAAAAATTTACTGAAAGTGTGTCAACTATGGAAGATGATTGAGAAACCAGTGATAATGAGTTAGGATAAAAATCAAAGGCATTTTAAATAAATAATGAAAATCACTTTATAGTAAGTATATCAGTGTCTATGTGACAGTAAAATTATTGTAGGTCCTTAAATTTATTTTAATTAGACCCTGGCCCAAGTTCATTTTTAAAAATTTAACTTTAGATTATTCCTATAAAGGATAACCCTGTGAAACAGCTTCACTCTTCCTCTTAGTGTTTTCTTTGAAAGAGGAGCTGGTTTTCCTGAAGTTTATCTTATGAGGCCAAATCATTTGATGTGTTCCATAAAGATATTTTAAGCCAGCAAATCAACTGTAAGGTGCTAACACATGTGAGTGTTAAATTGCATTGTTCATTTCTATGAAATAAGACTTTTCCAAACAGCTCATCTAAAAGTCATTGAGTTTTTTGAGCACATGTTACTTATCTATGTATTTTATTTTAAAATGATTATGCCTTTCCCACCCCCTCTTCCAAAATGAAGATACTTTTTTAAGTCAATAAAAAACTATAAAGCAGTATACTCTTAATATGGATAGCATGAAAAGATATAAAGAAGCACTTAAAATTTTACCTTCTAGAGATGACATTTTGCTCTCAGTCCACACTTTCTATGCTTATATTTATATATGGAAGTGTGTGTGTTTCAAAGAGAGATTGTACTCTACTTACCGTTTTTTAACCTGTTCTGCTCACTTTTCAAGCTTTTTCTTTTTTTGTACTATTTGTATCCTTTATTCCAGGTCAAAGAAAAGGCAGATGTCCTTAACCCATTAATCACCGCGGTGTTTCTAGAGGTTAGTAGTAATTGTTTTTAAGTCTCTGACTCCTAAGGTATTATGTATTAATTCTTTAGTTTTTGGCTTGTTTTTTTCACCAGATAGGTAGTTTGGTCATGTTGCTGCTAATGTGACCAAAACAGTGTATATTTGATGTGTATTCCCTGCTCATAATTACAAAGCATAAAGTTGAAGCTGTAGGGTAAAGTAGAGTGGAAGAAGCCGTAGACTGTCATTACTTAGTACTACCTTTTGACAGCTTAATGGACAATTCTCAGTAATGAAACACCTTCTGGATACCAGCTAGTAAACATGAGGGGCTGAAATTCCAATTATAAATAGGCAAGCACTGCTTCCTAAAGGACTAAGGTTTATGCAGAGGAGATTTGTGACAAAACAAAACATTCTGTCATTTCCTTGCCAAGAAATCTTGCTTTGTTTTGTTTAAAAGGTACCCGTGTTCATATAATCCTCATCAGTCTATTAGAAGGAGGTGGGTTGATTTAAGTCCATGGAAAGAAGATGTAAGAGCATTCTATAATTGATTATATTACTTCTTTAGGTGATGCTTTCTTGATTATATGTTTTAAGAATTCTGTCTCGTAAATTAATTGTATAAACAGACTTTTGAATCTATTTAAAACGTGTAAGTCTGAGGGAGAAAATATATTTGATAATTAGGTTTTTAAATGTGAATTGAAAAAGTTTCAACTACTGGACTTTTACTTCTTTAGTTTTAAATTCTTTTAATATTATCATCAGTTAAATAATCTTAATTCCTTAACTGCATAGTTTTTCTTAAATAGTCAGGGAAACTCTTTTGATCATTTAAACAATTTTTTTTTTTTATTTATTTTTTTTTGAGACAGAGTCTCACTTTGTTGCCCAGGTTAGAGTAAGTGCCGTGGCGTCACAGTAAGTGCTGGCTCACAGTCTCCGGGGCTCAGCGATCCTACTGCCTCAGCCTCCCGAGTAGCTGGGACTACAGGCATGTGCCACCATGCCCGGCTAATTTTTTGTATATATATTTTTAGTTGGTCAATTAATTTCTTTCTATTTTTGGTAGAGACGGGGTCTCGCTCAGGCTGGTTTCGAACTCCTGACCTTGAGCAATCTGCCCGCCTCGGCCTCCCAAAGTGCTAGGATTACAGGCATGAGCCACCACACCCGGCCAAACAATTTTTAAAAGTATAAGTTTGTGATGTAGTAAATGGCAAAATGGTATAGTTGAAAGAACTTTGCAAACCAGGAGCTTAGTCCTGCCCTGATTCTTCCTCTATTTGTTGTATGACCCTGGACCAGGCATGGCCTGGACCTTCTTTTTTTTTTTTTTTTTAAAAAAAATTTCACTTCTGGCGTATTTGGCTATGGACCTTCTTGACAAACTCATTATTTTTATGTGTAAAATAAGAGATTTAACTAAATGATACCTGAGGTCTCTTTTTGCTAGAAAATTCAATATCAAATGTCACATTGAAGTTTAAATAGTAATACTTGCCATTGATAAATTCAAAAAAGGTAATCTCATTTGATATGGGTTCCCTATTGCTATTTTGAGTTGATTTTTCTTGCTTACAGATTTGAAATACTCTTGTCCTTGAAATTATACATTTTTAACTTAATGTAATGAATTCTGTTGTTGTTCTTCTGGACAGTAAGAACTTTTCAGTATAAATGAAGTCTAGTAATCTCTGAGCATAATGATTCCCTAACACTTCTCATAAACATGTCTGTTATATGAGATAGAAATATATCTATACTGTGTCATGTTTGAATGCAGTGTTCCTTGTTTATGTTTGCAAGTACCTATCTTGTGTTCACTAATTGCATTTAGTTCACAGAAGAAGAGCTATCACAAGGGACTGGAAATCCTATAGGTGCAGGATATATAGCTTTCTGACAGCCTCTTTCAATAATTGACTACAATGCTGTGGCAGAATCTACCTACTCAGTCAAAGAATAAATAAGCTTTGAATGCCAGGTTTGAACAGGTTGCCAAAGAACAGACCATTTTTGATGGGCAAGTTAGACAAAAATGCTGACATTCTTTTTCGGTGCATCTTATGAGCTAGATTCTTCTTCTCTTTATAATAGAGTTTGCCAAATGGCCAAGTCTATGTTCTTATTTGCCAGGCTAAAATTTCATTGTTAGATTGCAAAAATTCATCTATTTCTTTGTTGTCTTGCAGTATATTTTAAGTGATATTTTCTTATTTTTTAAATCCCAGGCATCAAACAGTGCCTCCTACATCCAGGATGCCTTTCAGCTACTCTTACCTGTGCTAGAAATCTCTCTCATTGAGAACAAGACTGAATCACCCCAACATGAGCTGCAGAGCCAGAGGCCTTTGTCAGAACAATGAAGAACAGAGAAGATTCCACTTGGGACTTGTGATAGCCAAGAAATGCCATTTTCTTCTGGGTACTTCTACAGAAATAAAGGAGTGGAGTTATTTCAGGATATACAGTTTCAAGCAGGAGAGCAGGTTTAAAGAGGTGGTTTGTTGTCTTCACTGCTTGATTAAAGTATTCAGGTCCTCACACTATTCTTCTCAGTTGTTTTAATTAATAAATTGTTAGAAAAGAAACTTTTATAGAAAGTTCAAGAATAATAGTTCTAGATAAAGATTAGTGGGACACTCAGGCAAAAATATTGGTCTTTCCTTGAAATGTTGCAAAACACTAACAGTTTTGCCGTAGATATAATTTGTAGCCCATGGATATAATTGGATGTTAAACAAGAGAAGCTACTTTATTATTGTAGAATTCATGACATGCTTGGTCTATTAATGCCATGTACTTACTTTCTAGAATAAAACTTATGGCTTTAATAAAACTGAGCATATATAAACTCTATAATGATTATACTTATCACATGAATTCTTAGAAATGGTTAGGAGGTTTCATCTGCTCTTTAATTCTCAGTAGATATTTGGCATTGAGAAGAAACTTGTATCCATGTAGCCACATGAATTAACTAAAGCAAAGTGCCCTTTGGCTTCAAATGGCTCCCCCACCCCATAGTGACAGGCTTCAAGTTGTAGCTGATCCTCTCTCAACTGGGTTAAGACCAGTAAGTGCAATTTAGGGAACCAGTATCATGGTTGCAGATATTTTGAGTCTCTCAGGATGTTTTTCATGCCTACCCCATGTGCAGGATAAATTCTTCAACAGCCAACTCCAAAGGAGTGTTGAAGCTCTTTTAGTAATGGGATGTTTTTTATTTGAGTATTGTTGAAGTAGACTGTACAGTCCTATAGAAATGGTGTTGGTTTATAACAGGATTTACCTCTAAGATACAATGTATTTTCTCCTTATTCTTTCATGTTTGTTTTCATTATTATTCTTTAGCATGTTTTTAAATATAACTTTTATCTTCCAGATCTTAAGCTTTCTTATGCTCACTTCAGTAACTTATGAGACTATTAAGATGTCATCTTCCCAAAAGCTATTTTGGTATACTCTCTTTTTAAAAAAGTTCTCCAACTTTGTGATTTTTAATGATTAAGGTAACTTTTGTGAGCTCTTCCCCTCATCTTCTAAAACCTTTAAAATAAAATGTATTAATTGTGTTAATTTATCTTTTAATTTCCTAAACCATGAGCCCCATTATCTTTCCCAGATTAAAAAAATAGCAAAGTGAAGCTATAACATAGATTGGTATCAAGACTGTTTCTATGTAATCTTTGGGGCAGGAGGCAGTAAGCATGGAAGAACATAAATAGATTTGTATCAAAAGGGTATACCAACAGCACTAAAATGTTGCTCTGTTTATATTCTGTTTTAATATGATCAGAAAGTTTTTGAATATTTCTTTTTAGAGACAAATTTCACCCTTCCCAACTTAAATAATTCTGAAATTTCAGAAAACCAGTGGCCTTTTAGTTATTGAAGCTGTTGTCCCCAGTCTTAAATTGTTGCCTCAAGCTGAGTTACTGTGTCTGAACCTGTATCTCTTGAGCATGGTTTAGAAACTGGTCACACTGCCTATTAACTGTTCAGCTCTTGTGCAATGGAAGTTTGGCACCTTTAACTCTTTAATCTAGAAACATATCTAAAGTTTTTCTTTTAAGATATGGTATAGATATAGGGGAGAGAGCAGTAACTCTTTTTATGTGCTTTCCCAGATTTCAGTCCTGAATTCAGCCAGTTTTAGATTAGGCCTTATAAAAGGCCTCTTTTTTTTTTTTCTCTTCATCTTTCCCATCAGCTTTCCCCACCCATCCAAATTTTTTTTTGAATGAAGTTGGGGACCACTAGTAAAATGATGAAAGGACCAGTTAATTCTGAGTAACAATTGCCTACTCTTCACCTAGAATATAATGAAAAAGAATTCAAGTTTTTTGATTTAGTAGAGATAGGCATAAACATTCATGGATAGGTGAATAGATAAGTTCAGGTATCACTTTGGAACCTAGTGGATGATGGTGATGGTTTTTGGATGGTATGTGCTTCATTATACCATTTGGGGTGGGTACATGATGTGATTTCTTGATGATACCTACTATTTTTCTTTTAATTTTCTGGTGTCTAAGACTTATCACTAATCACTAATATGTGCCACTTCTCTTTACAATTCACTTAACCCCTTGATTGGTGAAATGTTCAGTTATTGCTGGGGTAAATGCTTTTCGTACTATTAAGATCTTTATAGGCTATGATTAAAAGAGACTTCATTAACTTGATCTAAAAGAAATAGAAACTTCCATGAACTAATTCTTGTTCTTCTTTATATAATATCTTAGAAATGTGTTAAAGACAAGCTATATTTTCCTTATGTGCTTTTGATAATTTTTTTTTTTTTTAAAGCATAGATATCCAGATTGACAGGCCTCTGAAATGTGAAATTGTAATTCATGTAGGTGGCATTACCACAAACCTGAAATCAGTGCTGGGGCATAAATGTGAATTTTCCAATCCTATAATCAGAAAATAAGATCTTGTGGGTTCCTACTGCTGAAAGAGGATCCTCTCTTTTGTACTTGTTTTTAAGACCTTTTTGATGGAGAGATATTTTATAGGTAGTTGCTGTTGATGTCTCCATTTGAGTAATGAACATTTTCTTGTATTTCTAGATGTGTTCTGATTTTAAACATCAACTCTTCAGGTTGGAAAAATCCAGAATAAAATTGTACCCACGGTGGGCTTTCAGTAAGTGTGATATTTCACAAATGTCAAAGATTAAAATCCTTAATTTTGTCTTAACATAACATGATGTGTGTTTTCATAGAATGCTTAAAAATGAAGCATTTGAGATATGAGGAAGTTCTAAAAATAACAAGCCTCTTCATTAACATATCGTAAAGGCCTCTGGGAAATGTGTGAGAAAAATTTTGAAAACTTGCCCACTGGTGTGACTTTATCACTGCATCCTGATGTTCCTTGAATTACCAGTCTACTCAGTTCTCCCTGCTTCACTTGAGGTCCCATCCTTGCTTGTTATTATATTGTCTGGCCAAATCCCAAAGTACCTCCGTGTTTAATTATCATTTCCCCATTAAACTTGTCCAGAGGGTTACACTGATCTCTTTATCCTCACAAATCAATGTTGAACTTTCCAGACGTTTAAATTTTTGACAGTCCTACTCTTGCAAGGAATGGATACAGAAACTGCAAATTGAGTGAAACCATCGTCTATTTCTATTTTAGCCCATTTGTCTCTTTCTGTACAAGCTTGCCACTGCTGTGTTCTCAAGCTAGTTCTAATGCCATTGCATATGAAGGAGATGATCAAAATACAATTTCACAAATCACATTGGTTATTGCTGTTCAAAGAGAATGTTTTAACTTCACAATCCTTAAAGGGGGAGAATAATGTGAACAAACCTAACAGGGAGCATACTGTGTAGAAAAGGTACATTAACTGTATAGTGAATAAGTTCCAAAATTATTAAAGTCCAGTTGCTCAATTAGGACAGAAGCAGGCCTCTGTAGAAGTAGTCTAATTAGAGGAGGCCAAGATAGCGGACTAGAAGCAGCCTGCACATGGAGAAGACCGAAAGTGATGAGTAGATACTACCTTTAGATCAATTATCTGAGGAAGAGCTTTGGAAATCCACAAAGAAGTGGTGAGAGGCTCCCAAAGTGAAGGAGAGGGTATTGGGGCGACCCACTTGGCAGAATCAGAGGTACGTGGGGGAGGGACAGAGGAGAGAACCCTGGGGCGCCACACTTCCCACATGGACATTGCAACCAGAATTTCGGGAGGGCCCCTCCACCATAGCAGGCTGCTGGACTGACATAGGGAGCTGAGTAAAGACTGTGGAGTGACATTGCTCCGGAAAGAAGGCACAGCAGGGTCCTGTCGGCTTACAAACCCTAGGTGTGGCTGGTGCCATTTTGAGGTCACAGCTCCAGAGTGCTGTCTCTACCTGAGGGTTAGATCCATTGCTTTTGCCTCTTCATCTATCCTGTCAGGCTAGGGAAGGAGTAGGAAGGGTGGGTGCTTTCGTACGTCCTGTGGGCAGGTGCTTTGTGCCCCCACCACCCCCAGGGAACCTGGGCAGAGTGGGTGCCCGTGGACCTGGAACCCGCTGCTGCTGCCTGGACAGTCCTGCCTAGCCACATCTGCCACAGATGCTGGAGAGAGCAAGTGCCTACAGCCACTGGCGCCTGCTACTGCCATCTGAGTGATGCAGCCACCACCACCATCACTTGGATAACGCCGCCATCGATGGACCTGGGTGGAGCAAAGGCTCACACCACCATGCACCAATGCACCCTGCCACCACTAGACCTGGGCAAGGCAAGAAATCATGCCACCACAGGCCAACCACCAGTGACAACCACAGAATCTGACTGAGATTCTGCACAATTACTGAGAAGCTACTCCTTTCCCAGACACTGGGTTAAGTGCTGGGGGAACAAAATGCAGAATGTGTGGCCCCTTCCCATAGGAGCTCACACTGGTCCTACTGGCTGAGCAATCTCTGCCTTGTAGCTGCAAATCCTGAGAAAGGAAGTGAGGCAGCTGCTCTGTTGCAATGTATTGTGGCTGTGTTGGATGGACTTGTCCCAAATCTGGTTGTGATTGTTGAGTCAGGTCAGCATTGCAAATGTTTGCAGGTGCATTCTTCAATACCCTCAAATTGCTGCTTTTGTTTTGGTGGTTTGTGTCTTAAGGGGCCAATTTCTCCTGTATATAGAATTACAGAATCATCTACTGTTCGTCGACCACTGGTAGATAAAAGAGGAAACTAACTTGTGTTTGAAGACCAAGCACCATGAGCACATGTTTGAAGACCAAGCACCATGAAATAAACTTTTCTTTGAAATCCTCAAAATCCTTGCTCTGTAAGGTCAGGAAATGGCACCCCCAGTTTATGAGCTGCAGGATGGTGTAGAAGTAGAGCAAAGACAGGCTCGGAATGAATCTTGACTCCCTCATCTTCTAGCCCTATGACATTGCAGCAAGTGACGTATGCCCTTAAACTCATTTTTTTTTAATCAGTAAAATCAGTCTTATAACAACACCTGTATTATAGTCATTGATAGGATTAAATAAAATCTATGTCAAGTGCTTAGAACAAGTGCCTGCCACGTATTGAGATGAGCTAATGTTCGTGAGCTCATGAACTCTATGAGCGAGGCACTGTTACGAACATGTCTTAATGGCATGTATTAATTTAATTCTCACAACAACCCCACAAGATAGGTACTGTTAACATGCCCATGTAGGGAGGGAAAAACTGAGGCACAGAGAGTGTAAGTAACTTGCCTGTGGTTACAGAGCCAAGTGGTAGAGCCAGGATGCAAGTCAGGCAGCTTGGTACCAGAGATCCTCCTTTAAACCATTTCATTATACTGTCACCATAAACTGTCAGTAAAGAAACTTTAACAACTGTTAGTTACTTCATTATGGTGAGTATGAAACAGATTCGGAGGGTTAAGTGACTTGCTCAAGATTTCATAACTATACACGACAGAGCTCCTACAGTGTGGAGCTTAGGTTGTCTGGTTCCCTAACTCGTGTTTATTCTATTTTATTTCTTTAAGGAAAAAGGCTGAGAGGCGCCTACCTCATGATTAATGTCTATAGGGGAGCATCTGGACAGATTGAGAGCTGCTAGGACTTGGCATAGAAAGTACAGTGTGGTGACAAGTCATGTTTGCCACAGCAGGAAAAAAAGACCTCAGTGAGGTAGGAGCATCTGTATAAATGAGTGATCAGAAGGGAAAGAGAAAAAAAAAGAAAAAAAAAATTACAATCCATGTTTGAAATTAAAAAAAAAAAAAAAAGAAGGGAAAGAGGAGTACACAAATGTTCTTAGCAGCTTTATTGGTAATAAATAAAAGATGCTTTAATAAAAGGTGCTTTATTTGTAATAGCCCTAAACCGGAAACAATGCAGATATCCTTCAATGGGTGAATGGTTAAACAAACTGTGGTACGTCCATGGATTTCTCTCAGTAATTAAAAGGAACAAACCATTGATACACGCAAGAATTTAGGTGAATCTCAAGGGAATTAGGCTGAGTGAAAAAGATCCAAGCTTACATACTGTATAATCCCATTTATATGGCATTAAAATGGTAAGATTAGAGAAATGGAGAACAGATTAATAGTTGCTGGGGGTTGGGGGAGAAGGTAGGCAGGTGTGGTTTTAACAGGGCAGCAGGAGGGATCTTTGTGGTGATGAAGTATCTTGACCAGTGTGGACACAAGAACCTACACATGTGATCAAGTGTATAGAACTAAGTGCACACATACACACACACACATACAAAATATACAAATAAGTACAGGGAAAACTGAGGAGTCTGAATGAGATAGGTGGATTGTATCAATGTCAGCATCCCAGTTGTAAAATTGTACTTTAATTTTTATAAGATGTTACCACAGGGGAAATTGGGCGAAGGGTACATAGCATTTCTCTGTCTCTCTTAACTGCATGTGAATCTACAATTATTCCAATAAATATTTCAATTAAAAAAAAGGAGGAGGAAGGCTTTGTGCCAAGGAAGACAGAGTCAAGAAATGTGGCCCCACCAAGGGTAACAAAGACCCAGTGGGGCCCCCTTACCCATGTGAATGCCCCTTTCATGGGCACTTGAAAGCAGAATGGTGGCAGGTGTGGCTTGATCTGATTCTTCTCTATAAGCAGGTACTTTGGGAGGAGGATTCAAAGTGCGATGAGGGGAGTGCAGTAGGAGTTTGAGAAGGTTTCCTAGGGGATTCTTCTCTAGCATTCTTCATTGAAATCCACCAATTCGGCAGAAAAAAGATGCTTATGGAATTGTTTCCAACATCATTAAAGCCATATCCTGCATTAAACAAGTGAAGGAAGTTCTACAAATTAAATGAAAGCCATATGTAAATAATGGTTTGGACAGCAGCTACCCAGGTCAACTGAGTTCTAACTGCACTTGGCTCCTACCTCATAGAATTTTTACTGAGACACCTTTTATCTATTAATCTTAATCATTTTAATGGCTGATATTAACTGAGAAGTTACAATGTGCCAGGCCACTGTGCTGAAGGTTTTAAATACATTATCCCATTTATCTTCACAACAGCCCCACAAAGCCACAACTGTTCTTATCTGTATCTATAGATGAGGACATCTGTGGTCTGCAGAGGTCAGGACATTGGCCTAAGGCCATATGGTGTGAGGGTGGTAGAGTGGGTTCAACACCACAACCACTGCACCAACTGCTTCTCAGTTCTCAGTCATAAAAAGAGGAGATTGGGTCAAGCAGTTTGGATTGTCCATGGCTTCAATGAATGCTGAGCCAATTAGCTAATTCTGACCTGAGCTCAACTAGGGGCAGTGAAGCAACAATTTAGGAACTGCCAATCTTGGCCCAACAGGGAAGGAGATAAACCCAGACAGGTTGAAGGATAGAGGCAGCCAGAACAGAGAGAGTAACAGGATGATTTGTCACTCTTTGAAGAGATGTGACTTAGGATTTTCTGTTTCTATTTTTCTCCAACAGAGGAGAGAAATGAGACTCTTCTCTAAAGAGTCCTGTTGTTTGAATGCATGTTATAGCCTGTCTCTTTTGATTCCCTAAAATACAGGCAGTGGGAAGACAAAATATCTGTACGCTGCCTCATTCAAGTTCACAAAGAACCCACCTGGAAAAGCAACTAGCTCTGTTAAGAAGCCATAGAAAGGAAACCAGGACAGGATGCACTAAAGGCAGGAGGTGGAAGAACAATGCCAAGACCCAAGGTGAGAAGAGAGAGAATGCAAACTAGCACAAATAGA